ATTCTATTGAATAATGTTCCTTTCTTCCTGAAAAGTGTTTTGAAATCCTTTAATATGATAGGCACTCTCATCTTAAGATCTCTTATCAATGATCTGCAATCAGATGGTGCAGAGGCATCTTTAAAGAAGCGTTGGGAAAAAAATAACTGTAATTAACAACAATAGAAGTCTGAACCACAATTGTGGTGAGAAAGATTTGAGTGACCAAAGCACAGGAAACCATCTACATTTCAGTTGTTTTTTTGATTGATCTTTTTTAAAATACTGTATTTATTGTCAGTTCTGAAAACAAAATTACCGTTATCAGTCTAGTAACTGATAAAATTATTTTTGTTTTATTCTCTGATATGGATATTACATTATTTTTCTTCTTTCTTTTTTAGGAGTCCAGTTGCTTGCCCTTCTTGTTCCCACCCTGATCTCCTATTTACTGAATGAAAATGCCTTTGCTTCTGCATCTCCAGCATCTAAAGACCTTCATGAATTTGCACTTCAGAATCTAATGCACATTGGTCCACTTTACCCACATGCTTTCAAGACAGTAATGGGAGCTGCTCCTGAATTAAAAACACGTCTAGAAACTGCAGTCCGAGCAAGTCAGGCCAGCAAAGCAAAAGCAGCTGCTAGGCAACCACCACCCACAGTACATTCCACCCCAACAATTAAACTGAAAACTAGCTTTTTTTGAATTACTTTTATTATTTTTGGACCATTAAGTAGTCAGAAGCATTACATTATTCCCGATGTGTTACTGCATATATGTCTGTAATTTTGTGTAATTTGTATGTGAAAGGCTGTCTAATAGAGCTTTGTGTAATTACTTGAAATCCATGCATTACAAGGGAAGTGGTGTTACTTGTATTTGTATAGATTTTTAGGAAATTGAATGTGATCATATTTATGAATTTGTGTTATAAATTATCCACAAAAAAAAAATTATTCTCTGACTAAATAGTTTTATTTTATTTATTTTTAAAAGCTATCACAAACCTTTGAGTGTTTTTTTTTTTTTTTTTTTTTTTATATTTTGGATCATATTTATGAATTTGTGTTATAAATTATCCACAAAAAAAAAATTATTCTCTGACTAAATAGTTTTATTTTATTTATTTTTAAAAGCTATCACAAACCTTTGAGTGTTTTTTTTTTTTTTTTTTTTTTGAAATCTGGTGATTGTTATCCTACCATTGTGCAAACACACTGACACAGTGGGGACAGAGGGAAGAGGAGAAACTGTTACAGTTCTTACCATGTACCATGGGGAATTTCAAGTGTAGAAGTATGCACTTTTTCCTTTAAAGAACAAAGTAGTGAAGGGGATTGTCAGACCTTGTAGATCATCGCAGCTTGCATGAAAAAAAAAGAAAGAATTGAAAATTTTCAGTTTTTCTCAAGGTGAACGATCAAGCTTGCTCTCTTAATGAGGTGTCCTTATTTATGTTGTGTGTATTTCTTTCAGATCCGTTTCCATGCTTGAAAATTAATAAAGAATGCAAAGAATCTAATCCCCTATCTCTTCTAAGATAAATTTTAAAGAATGCATTGGAAATTGAGTTTATGAAGAGAACTGCCTGCTATCTGCATTTTTGTAGGTGAAGATTTTGGCCCTTTTAAGGTGCTGTGTGTTAGCAGTCTTCCTGTTCTGCCAGAAACTGGCTGGATACGATGATTCAGCGTTCTGCTCTTTGTCCAGATTCCTCAGTATTTAACCTTCCTGCAAGATTTTAGTCTCATTGGATATATCTTATCTGTAGTCCTTGATAAAGTTAGCAGAGCCAAATTACTTGAGTGCTTTGTGCCTATACTGACAGAGGGAGCAAAAAACAAGTGAGAGCCAGGCTGCTCCAGTTTTTCCTTCCCCTACCAGGCTTTTCTCTTTTGAAAAGCACGTGACTCCCCCCCACATCTGGGTGAGTCTGATGTGCAGATTTTGGAGCTTAGGGCCCAAGTGCTGTGCTGGCCTCGCAGCACAGAGCCAGCGACTCCCAACGTCTGTCTGCTGCCAGACCTCACCCTTCCTATTGGCAGAAGTGCAGAACCATGTATTTTCTTGTGTATACAAGACTGACTTAAGGTGGATTTTTTGACACTACTCTTGAATTTATGGGCTTCTATAGGGATATTCCTATACATTTTACTGTATAGAGAGAAGCCACATAACTAGAAGCCTCAGTCCTGTTGAGTATCATCTGTCCTGTCTTTCTGGATACTCTGTAAAAACTGCATTATTTCAGAAGCTTCTACATCAACCCAAACATAACAAAGGGACAGTAAATAGAATAGAATGTGATTTTTAGTTTAGTTTAGTTTGTTGTTTGTTAGTTTAGTTTTGTTTGTAGATCATTATTTTTGCATAGTCGCTTGCCTAGTCTTTCTTCCCACAAGACCTTATATAACCCCTTCAAGTACCTATATAACCCTTTCAAGTACCTATGCAAAATGGAGGACAAGACACTGCTCTTTTGGCCTACAACACAGTAGGTGTGTGCAAAATAGTTAACATAAAATCAGGAAAGTTTTTATTTCACAGTGATTATTTTAGTACTAAAGAAAGGACTCAAGAACTGGTGCGTACTCTGATCTTTCAAATGTTTGGGTTGGTGGTTTTTTTCATAAAGATGTTAACTTCCAAGACTTGTTCCATTATCCTACAGGAGTAAAGATATATGCAGAAATAAAAATAAGATGAGGAGGAAAGTAATTTCACTACTTTTTTCATCTTTATATGTGCAGTGGGAATTAAATTGATTAAAATACATAATTTTCTATTAAGTGTTTCCAGCCTTACAAAAAAAGCTATTTTGCTCAGTAGTTCTGAACCTGTTTAACATTTGAGAGAAAGTATTAAGGAAACTCTTTCAGTACAAAATTGAACACGAACATTTTGCAAATAAAACTAAGAAAATAACTTCATAACCTGTTTTAGATTCCCTCCCCTCAGGTAGTCTAGTAATTAATTACTTTGATGTTTGTTGGCAACTTTTTGTCTATAATCAGGTTTTATTTACCTTAATTTTTATCTCACCACTTTCATGGTTTTGTTAGACTCTATTTTACAAGGTGTCTGAAAACTCAAAGGGGGGAGGGGGGAAGTGTAGTAATCAAGCGTAACTAAGAAGTCTGTAGAAAAATAGAAAAAAGTTAGTGGAAGGGAAAATGGCACTAGATAGATGCAGAGGGATAGAGAAGGGAGAGGTTTTTCTTTGTATCCTGTGTGACTGTATACAACACGCTCAACTTCCATTTGTATACATCCTTCCCCAGTTTCTAGCCTTCGCTCGCTTCTTTGCTTGCCCCTGATACTAAAGTATTACATAATATTTTGGCATCAAACTTGCTCAAAAAACCCGTACTAACTTGAAATGCCTGTAGTGCTCATTGTTTTTTTTGTCACCCTCCGTTTCATCTTTTTCTTTGTCAGTGGCCTTTGTAATGTGCTTTTTCATGAAGCTTGTTTGCTCCGTTTCCCCTTCGCGTCTTTCCTCTCTCTCTGCTGTTTCCTTCCTTTCTGGGTAAGCCTCGTCCTGCTGAGGTCCCCCAGCGCGCTCCCTCTTCTGTGCTTTCCCTGCTGTCCCCTTTTGCTCCGCGATGACCTGCAGGGTTTCCCGGTTGTCCTTCCCTCTTGAGAAGCGGTCACCCACCGGCCACGGCTCTGATCTCTGAGCCCAGGGCTGCAAATGCGGTTTCGGAGAGGGGAACAGGAAGGTCTGCAGGGTGAGCAGTGGGGGCCCTCCCTGGCACCTGCAGCCTCCGTGGCCATCTTTCACGAGCAGCGAGCGCTCAGCCCTGCTGTAAGGCGTGTTGGTAGCGACGTGTCTGTCTGTCTGTCTGCAGCGAGTGGCTGGCATTGGTATGTCCGCAGGGTGGACAGCACGGACCTGTGTGTGCCTCTGGGAGAGGCCCGGGGCTTTGCCGATGGTCTCAGGGTGCCTTGTTTGCTCTTTCCTCACAGAAAAGGCAGCGTGGTAATTACTGAAAAACATTCTTTGCTCTCCTTCAGAAATGTTCAGTATTTCTAGAGATTTTCAAGAAACCCCTACAGCCTTGGAATGGATTTTATAGTATTCCATGCTTTGAATCACAGAATCATAGAATGGTTTGGGTTGGAAGGGACCTTCATCGAGTTCCAGCCCCCCTGTCGTGGGCAGGGACACCTCCCACTAGATCAGGTTGCTCACAGCCCCATCCAGCCTGGCCTTGAACACCTCCAGGAATGGGGCATCTAAAGCTTCTCTGGGCAACCTGTCCCAGTGCCTCACCACCCTCACAGTAAAGAATTTCTTCCTAATATCTAATCTAAATCTCCCTGCTTTCAGTTTCAAAATGTTACCCCTCGTCCTGTCGCTACATACCCTTGTAGGAAGTCCCTTGCCAGCTTTCTTCAGAAACTGGAAGGCTGCTGTAAGGTCTCCCTGGAGCCGCCTCTCCTCCAGGCTCAACAGGCACAACTCTCTCAGCCTGTCCTCACAGGAGAGGTGCTCCAGCCCCTCTGACCATCTTTTTGGCCTCCTCTGGACCTGCTCCAACAGGTCCATGTCCTTCTTATGTTGTGGGCCCCAGAGCTGGAGGCAGTACTGCCGGTGGGGTCTCACCAGAGCAGAGCAGAGGGGCAGAATCACCTCTCTCGACCCACCGGCCACACTTCTTTTGACGCAGCCGGGGATGCGGTTGGTTTTCCGGGATGCCAGTGCACCCATTGCCGGCTCGTGTTGAGCTTCTCACCAACCTGTGACGTCACGCCTCGAAATACGGGCAGCGCAGAGGAGAAAAAGGCGATTTGATGGCATCTCCCCGCCCCTCCCTGTTGCGGAACTACATTTCCCAGAATGCGGCCGGAGCGGCCGGGGAGAATCGCTCTCTGCATTTGTCCCCTCCGGGCCACCGTAGCAGCCGGCGGGGGCGGCTGTCAGGCGGTGAGGGCGGGCGGGACGCGCCCAGGTTGTTGCTGCTGCCGGGACGCGGCTGGGTGCGGGCGGCGGCTGGCGGAGGAGGAGGAGGGGGTCGGCGGCGGGGATCGCGGCAGACCCGGCCCGGCCATGGACGAGCAAGCGGGTCCTGGCGTTTTCTTCAGCAACAACAACAATAATAACGCCTTACTCCTACCGCCGCCGGCGGGCGGGCCGGGGCTGGAGCCGGGCGAGGCGGCGGCAGCAGCGGCGGCCGCAGCGGCAGCAGGAGGAGGAGGAGGCGGCGGCGGGGGAGTCTCAGCTACCGGAGCCGCCGCGCCGTTGTCGGCGTCCCGGGCTCAGTACAGCGTGCCGGGCATCTTGCATTTCCTGCAGCACGAGTGGGGCCGCTTCGAGGCGGAGCGCGCCGAGTGCCGGCCCGCGGCGCGACTGGGCTCTGGCCGCCTCTCCGGAGTTTTCCGGGTGCCCCTCTGTGACTATTTGCCTCGCCTTGTCACCTGTTTCATAAGCCGCTCTTAAAAAAAAAATGCCACCGGCCCTCGGGGCTGGCTCCCCGCCCC